CTTTTATAGAGAAGGAGAATACCTTTTAGAACAATTGTGTCATTCCAAATTTCACTGCATGCATGTAGTTCTGGGTTGGAGATCATCTATCTGGCCATAAAACCTCCCTCTTTTTTTAATAAGTCAGAAATCTACTCCTGATTTATATAAAGAAATGTTCATTAAACCTTTAAAGTAGAATTTAAAAAAAATTTATCTAGAGCTTTTAACTTATTTGTTAAATGATAATTTGAGCTCATCTCTAATGGAATAGCAAACGAGGACGTCCCTAAGCATGGACATTATACTTGACATCTTGTCTTTTCCTGGTCTCACAAGTTCTTTTTTGCTGAAATGGACAATGCAGACACAGGGATGAAATGAAACAGTGGAGGAGTTTGTGCTTCCAAGCCATTAGGTATAAGGAATAAAGACTGTCCAAAGACTGACCTTCAGCATGGAGCATTGAAGTTCAGAATGGACAGGTGGAAATATTGTGCTCTTCATTGCCCTTTGGTGCAAGATACAGTCTAGATTGCAGAGTAAGTGCCAGCAGCAGCAAAATTATCGCCCCCTCCTGCTCCTGGAGTCAGTCAGCGATGGCCCTTCTGTGGTCAGAAAGGCAAATTCAGCAGCAGCTAGTCGATTGGGATTTGCAAAAACTTCCCCATGGCTGTTAGGAATCTTATTCAGCAGTGTTTTTTAAAACTCGATTCTGTGCAGAATTAACTCAGTGGAAATGACCTCAGTTGTGATAAAAAAAGTGTTTGCAACAAATCGAAGGTGTCAGTTTTGTCATTGTATGTTTTTGCCCTTAATAGTGCAGAGTCGATTGGGCACCTCCACCCGTACTCTGCATTCATAAGTTTTATAGTGGCTCAGAATTTAATTCCATATTAATGTAAAGCCTTCCCAAATTCCTGGCTTTATCGAGTCAGTTCACCATACAAAGCCACTATACATCACTTAGGTTTGCGATGAAAGAATGGAATTGCAGCTGTGTGAGTCCTAGAATACCCAAACATGAATTAGACTCACAAGCATTTGGCAATAGTTCAGAAAAGAAGCTTAATCTGGTTTCATCTGAGACTGCTTTTTTTCTGTTCTACAGCATCCCCAAGATGTTGTGTCTGATATCGGATCACAATGCAATGGGGGTGATGCAGAAACCAGAGAAAGCCCCAAGAAACCGGGGGCGCACCATTTGCTTTTCTTCTGCAGATTTTACCCTTTCTACTTTTTTCCTGTTCCCAGGTTTCAAGCCTGAAATTCAGGGTCATTCACCTATTAGATGAATTAATTATAAGCCCAAAAGGCAGCATTCATCATACTCTGATCTCACTCATATCTATAATTAAGGGTAAATATAATCTTCCTTTTTAGAAATGAACCACCCACCCATTACATTTGAAATGCCGACTGAAATGAAATAATAGTTCCGAGCAAGATGATTTTAGTTTAACAAGGGGAAAAAAAGTTGATAATTTAAGCTTGAAGCAGTTAGTTCTATTTTTGATTACCATTCAGTTATAAATCTAATTTGAGATATCGGCTGCTTTTCTGTTACTCAAGTTTAATTCATGGGTTTGCCTCCCTGGTTGCATAAGCAGAGTTCAGTGGTTCATCTTGGGTTTGAAAAGCTTCACCCCCCCCAACAAGGAATGGGGGCAGGGCTGAAAACTGGGCAGAAGTACAGTCTGAGACCCAGATTGGATGCAAACAAACACAAACCTTCACTGTAATAGCCCCTCACAGAAAGCCTGCATTTGGCACTGGAGCGCCCGCAGCAGGAGTGGGTAGCTCTTTAGAGGAAAGTCCGTTACATGGGATGGGAAGGGGTCCCCAGTGTGTTTAACCCTGACTGGCAAAGTCAGCGTATGCTCTTCTTGGGGCAGATCTTTGAAGTCTTGAAGCTGTTTGCTCCTCAAAGCAAAGGAAAGAGTAAGGAGAAGGACTTGTCTCATCACGCTGCAGACAGTTAAGCAAAGTGCTAAACTCAGTGTGAAAGATTTACAGGTTGGCTCTCTAAGATGCCACATCTTGTTCCCCGCGCTTCCTGGCCTCTCGCTCCTGGGACCCAGTGTAACCGCAGTGTGTCAACTTGCACAGTGTGAAAACCCCAAAACCATTGTAGCCTATTTCTGGCCAGCGTTATCTTTGCCCTTTCTGAAAGCCGACTTAACTCTCAAAACTTCACTTTTCTGGAGCCTGCGTGTGTCTCCAGAGTTCCAGATGCATATGGGCAAATTCCCGTATACGTGTAAATGAATGCCTTACTCGTTTGTGTCGTGTTAAACTGAAGGCCCTTAACTTTTCCCCATGCAGAAACATAAGTTCAGCAGCCAGTGGGAAATATTTTCTCTTTCTCATTGCTACAGGCAGTTAAGTATATGAAGTAAAGGGCAAACAATTGTAAATGGTCATTGTTCATTCTGCAAGTAGACTATATAATGGGAACACATATTTTTATCTTCCTTTTCCCTAGTGCGATGATTAGAGCCCTTTCAAGTGTGAGGAAATACTTATTTTTGTTGCATTAGAAGAAGGATTCTATTGTCCCAAGGAAAGAGAAAAAGGAACAAACAGGTCTGGGGGGTGGGGGGAAAGTACAGAGCAAGAGAGGAACAGGAATGTGCTTTGTTTAAAAAAAACCAAAAACACCCAGGAGCCACCAAATGCTTGTAAATGCCATCTGATCTTAGAACTGTGTCATCGTGCATAGTTCATGTGACCACACATGTATGTGTTAGATGCCTGATTTATTTTCAGCTGGCCCATGAAATGATTTTCTTTTAAATTAACAATAAGGTCACTTCAGCCAGTTAGCAGTTTTCTGCTTGTCATTTTTGGATCTTTTTTTTAAACAGTTCTGTTGTGAATGCTGCAAAAACTCAGTGGAGAGATGGCATTTTTATGCCGACCTACTGCCTACATCTACTTTCTTAGAAAGTAAAAACCTTTGCCTCTAGGACCAACCCAAATGAACTAGTGGCTAGCTCATTAAAAGGACAAGGAAGCATTTTAGTATATTTGCTCCACCCTTTTCCGCATATCTTATATACCTTTAAAAGGAGAGAAATGAAGAAATAAGAACACTATCTCTCCAGAACACAAAGGTCTTAGTAAATAACTATTTGCACTCTTCTGTGCCTGCCAGGAAGATTTTACCAAACTCTGAGGAGGTTGTGCTTTGAAATAATAGCTCACAAGCTAATGTATGGAAATGTCACCAAAAAGTTGGACTTTTATTACTAACAGTGACCATCAGTGAAATTTCAGGCTAAGAGTCTAAAATGTTTGAGAACTACTCCTAGAAATAATTTAATATTATGTACTACTGGGAGCCTGAGTTATAGAACCACTTTATCATGAAGGCCCCATTGCTTTAGTTTGTCGTGGGGTAGTGCCTCTTTTAAGCTCTGAAGAGGTGAGTACAGAGATGCCAGCTTTTTAATCAGTCATGTGGTTAGTTATGAAGATCCCAGCTATGAGATTCCTACCCAAAATGTGCTTTTGACTTAGAATTACAACCTTGAAGTTCTGTTTAAACGTATTGATTTTTAGGAATCCCTTGAAAAAGTCTTGAACTAAGATGAGGGAAGGCACGCTGGTCAGTACTGATCAGTCCTTTTATCTGTTAGTCATCCAACACTCACAATAGCCCTTTGGAACCAAGAGGTTCCCTTTATGATATTTAGCTATATGGCGAGGGGAGAGGGGAGGTTTTAATTTTTGATTTTCCAGCTTATGGGTCATATTTGACCAACTGCTTTCACCAGAAGACATGCCACTTTGTTGAGCTATTTAGGAATCAAAAAGACTGTCTTAATTTAAAACAAGGACTCTTTGTTTTAGTTGGTGACTGCCTTGTGAAATTTTTCAGTTCTCAGCGGGTTAACCAGGGAACAGGGGCAGAGTCATAATTGGCCTATTTAGAGTATTTTGCATGTGAATAGTGTGTTAGTGAAGCATCCCTAAGTCTGTTGTGAGTGACATGGTGATTAGAATTTAGATTAGGGAAAACACAGTCTGTACTTTATCAAGGACAGTAATTAGTTCAGTCAGTAAAAGTTGATTACAAGTAACGATAAAGTTAGATTTTTTAGTACTTAATTTTAAAATTTCTCTATTAAATAGTAAATCTGTTCTTAATATAAATGGTAGCATCTACACTTGTTCTATTACATATCAGAATAATTAAAAGAACAATGTGTTCAAAGCAGAGTATAATCAGGCGATTTATATATTGTGGGTAAGTTTCTCTGTAGCTCTTAGAGACTGTAATATTATTGTATAATCTTTCTTATGTCATCATATTTGAAAGTTCAGTAATTTGGCACATCGTGCTAAGCTAATGATATTTGTGAAAGTTTACTTAGGTTCAGGAGAACGTTTAATCTGTGGGGCTGTGGTTTAGCTTCTGATAGTCCTCCAGAGAATTTTCTAAGATCCTTTCATTCGTGTGTGTAGCTTAGGATGCCTACCATTTCTAAAATTTTGGAAGGTAATGTGAGCATTAGCATTTTATCTTCTGGTCCATTCATGGAGGACCATGCTGCCCTGGTCTCGGCTTGGCTCCGTGGAAGAGCTTGCAGCCGCCCTCACCCCAGTGGAATCAGCTGGGAAGTTTTGTCTGCTCGAAAAATGAACTTCTTCCTAGGTCTGGCTAAGGCAGGGCAGAAGTTGTTCACACAGATAGGAGCCTGTGTAGAGATAAAGAAAACACCAGTCTTACGTAAATGCCATTTGCTTATCAAAGGAAAATGTTAGCCCTCTGAAAAGATTTTTTAATTTTTTTTTAAATTTTGCTTAAAGGGAATTGCAGAAAAGTAAGGAATGTGAAGGGGGAAACTTTGAGGTCGCTCTTACTCTGCTCTGCTTTCCTTTTTTGTTTTGTTTTCTTTGCCTCTGGCAGATGTTGTTTCCTTTTTGCACTGGTTTAAGTACTAGCAAGCAGTTGGAGGGTGGTGGATGGAAGAATGTAACCGTGTATGTTTGTCTCTCCCTTCTTAACCTTCCAGCAGAGTCTCCTTGGAGGTGACATGGATATGGGCAACCCAGGAACCCTGTCGCCCACCAAGCCTGGCTCCCAGTACTATCAGTATTCTAGCAATAATCCCCGAAGAAGACCTCTTCATAGTAGTGCCATGGGTAAGTAAGGGACTCGCTGGCTGTACCAGTTAGTGAATGCTGTTAGTATTTTTCTTTTCTTATTTATTTTTTTTAATTAAAGACAATCTTTTCTGCCCTTACCTAGAATACCAAAACCAAACACAACCCCATGAAAGTTTGCCCAGTTTTGTCACACTAGTGACTTCTTCCGGTCAACCCCCAGTCCCAAACAGTGGAAAGAGGTTACACCATCCAGTGGCAGCCTTATTTGTCTGGAGGCTGATTTCTTGCTCTCTCTTGGCTGTATCCATAAAGACTCTTAAAAACAAAAGAACAACAACCCCCCCACCCCCAATCATTAAAAAGTTCAAGGCGTCATATTTAACAAAGCAGTGTTTGATTTCTGCCTTAAATAAAAGGAATGGTGGTGACTACGTTTTTTTTGCTAGGAGAGTGATGTTTTGTTCTTTTGTTTTTGTTGTGGGTTTTTTTTTAGTGCAGTCTCATCTAAATGGCTTTGTGGTTTAATGCATCTTAGTTAGGAAAAGAAATGTAAGAAGAGCTTACAGAGTGCTTCTTTTCTTTCAGAGGTACAGACAAAGAAAGTTCGAAAAGTTCCTCCAGGTTTGCCCTCTTCAGTAAGTACGGCCTGTTTCTGTTGTGGATACTGTTTATTTCTTGCTTGCTTTTTTTCCCTTTTTTTTTTTCCTCCCTGGTTGTGTGTTGATGCAAAGAGGATAGGAGTAAATGAGGTTCCAGGCTCCCAGAGCAGCGCATTTATCTAGGATGTGGATGAGGTGGGAGCAGGCTGCACGCCCCGCCACCTGACCCACCTTGGAGTGATTAATTGCACATCCTGGAAAAGTGGGCGGTTATGTTGATATTCTGCAGGTTAAGCTCTGAAGAGAGCCTTGAAAAGGTGCCTGAAGTTCAAGGAGTTGTACCTGAACAGGGCTTTCAGGAGAATGAGTATTAGTTTCATGTGTTGGTTAAATTCTTTGTCAGTATTATGATGATTTATGGATTTGCATGCGAAAGGAGATTTGTGGAGAGGATTTAGGAAAAATTTACATGGGTTTCAGCCCAGAGTGCAGGGAGAATGTCTCTATTTTCTAGAGAGGTTGCTGAATAAAAGCTGCAAAGGTACTGCTTCAGTAGCTGTTTGTGTCTCTAATACCAGGTGACAAGTAGAAGAATCCAGCTGTAACCAAAAGCATTCTGGGTCTTTTTAATAGCGGAAATTACAGAGCTATCTCCACCCACTCCCTCAATATAGCAAACGTTGGTTATGATCACAAATGTATCCTGTATTTTGTTGAATTCTTACATATATTTTCAAATTTACATTCATAGATCATTTCATTTAGATTTGTTTAGGGCTCAGCTAGTTCTAGGAATTATTTTCTCCTTCCATAGTCTAAAAATATGATTTCTTCCTTCCTTCCTGTAAGAGATGTATAGCTATTTAATTCATTGAAAAGAATGCTAATGAATTTTTAAGTTCTTACGCTATAAAACAAAATTCTCTTTCCCAGAATCGATTACCAACTTCTGTATTAGTTCTAGTTCTCTGTCTGGTTAAAGTAGTGTTTTATTAAAATGCGTTTTGTCAGTCCACTCACTTTAGATAATCAATCCACCTGTATACTTGATTTCATTTCAGTTCAGCTAATCTGAAAATTTATAAATGAATATATTAAAATGAGCCCTATCGGAAGTAAAAAAGGGAAAAAATACACCATAAATTTTATATTCTGATTACGATAGGCTTGGTAATATTGGAGAGACATCACAGAATTATTCATAAATATGTAAAAATATTGTATACATAAATCTGCCAATAGCAAAGTTTGGGAATGTATAAAAAAAGGCGTAACTTAAAAATGTACTGAATAGTTAATTCTCTGAATTTCTATGTCATATTGGAACTGACTCCCCTCAGGTTTTTAGTAATGTATTTTAAACTTGAAGTTGGTGGTGTATTTAATGTAGATGAAACTTTAGCTTTTAATCGCTTTTATGACAACTGACAGGAATACAGCTTTCACAACTGTTTACATTCAAAACATGCCTGTGCTTAATACACACAATACTAACTACAATAAGTGGACTTTTGGATTTCTGAAATGCTGGCATGGTTTTGTCTCAGGCATAAAAGCCATGGAAAACCTTAAAAGCTGTAGTTATTTATGCCTCATATTGAAACTTGAGTTGTTTTGTTGGTTGTTTCTTTCTTTTTTCTTCCTAATGCTCAAAAACCGTGTGATTTAACATTTCTCTGTGGTTAGTCATTGTCAAAAATTACTCACCATTTGCTCTAAACTTGAAAATGTTTAGCTATACTTACTTAGCTGGTTGCTGTAGAGAGTTGTACTTCGATCATTTTATTTTTGTTATTAAGACCATTTATTTTAGTCTGGTATGTTGTGATATACTACAGAGGCTAACAGTAGTACCAGAAAATTAAAAACTGAGGAATTGGAAACGTCACTTTAAAAAAAAAATTAGTTTTTAGCCTTTAGTGCTTACTTTAGGATTTAGTCCTCTTAAGGAATTTTATTTGGCTAAATGTTTTTTACCCTTACAAAACCTTTTGGATAAATAACCCTTTTATAAACTCACGGAGGAGAAAAGTTCAGTTACAAACAGAAGTTTTCTCTTCATTATTTTGTTTAGTTTTGATTTTTTAGTAAGAAGAATAAGACAGTTTGGGTAATATTAGAACCAATCATCAGTTTATGATCATTATTTTAAAAATATATCAACTCTTTAAAGAACACTTTGTCCTGCTGTTTTATGTATTAATTCCTTATTACTCATAGATAATGCATGTGCCTTACCACAACATAAAATTATATTCTAATTAGATAAAGAGATACCCATACTAGACTCTAAAACTCATTTGCCCAGCCTTCTCTGTATTTCCTTTCCATGGTGGAAGATCCGTCCCACCTTTAGGAGGTAACTTTCTTATAATCTATCTTTACTTTTTACTTTAAAATAAAAAAACTTTCATCCTGGTAGTTCTGTTTTTATATTTTCTAGACTATGCTTATTCTTTTAAATACACAAAAAATTATAATGGTCTGATAACTACTTCTAATACTTGCTTTGATTATGGTGGTTGTATATCAGATATTGGAAGTAATAAAATACTTCTTTTGGCCTGATTATGAGCAGGTAGGGACATTTATAGGTAGTCATCCATACATATTTTCCATGATAAATAGTAATAAGTCTGTCTCAATATGTTGTGTCAGCACAGTTTTTCTTAGATAAAACAAAAAACGTTTCAACTATAGCCTTCCACATGCAGATATTATTTACAAAGCGACTCTGTGAAGGCTGGTCTTCTGTGACCACTATTGGGCCTGGTCAACATGGGAGATGAAGACACTGAGGGGATTGTCTGGCCCTGTTTTGAAAACACGGCAGCCTCTGTGGAAAAGAGAAAACATAATTCTGACATTGTAGCTTAGATGTGGCAGGATCTAGGTGTGTGTGCATTAGTGCGGTGCCTCGAGACATCTCGCCACTTTAAAGTCATGGTGTAGAATAGGATGGAGAAGGCCTTCAGGTCTGTAGGCACCAGTGGCATAAAGAGGCAAGGCCTGAGCTTAGGGATAAGAGGGGTGTGGGGGGGTGTTGTGTTTCTACAAGCAGTATGAAATGGCAACTAATTGCCCTGAAGAAACTTGCCTATAAAACTGTATTACTGTATAGAATGCTTCTGCTAATCCAGAAGTTAGTGTGTTGCTCTTTTTCCTTGGAGTCCTCATCCCTTAAAGAGTTCAGTATTGCTTGGTTTCTTGTTAATGCCAGAACTTATTTTGCGTGCCTGAGCTCTGGAGGCTCCAAGCGAACTTCCTGTTTTGCTAGATTTCCACTTCTTGGTTTTATTTTTCAGACATATTTCTTCTTAAAATTAGTGTTTCGCAAGCTTGCTGCACTTTCCAGTAAATTTCTCATCTTTATGTAACCTAAAAATCACATCTCTTGAATTCATGTAAAGGTTTCCGTGTAGAGGAAAATGTATTCATATTAGAGAAGTTGGGGAAGGGGGGAAATAATCTATGTTTTTTAATATAAATAAGCAGAAATTCTTAAAATAAAGAAACTGGAAAAATAATTTCATACTGTGCCTTTTAAAATATTCTTACCCCACACAAATAAGGAAAATAAGGTGCAAAGAGGTGCTGTTTCCATTCAATTTAACATGATTGTGTTTACCAGTATATAAACATATAAAATCCTGCTCACTTATAATTTGAAATGTTTCAAAAATGATACACATTTTACTAGAAACCATTTTAACCACTGCCCAATCCTACTTCAGGCATTGGTAGGATTTATCTCCATTTCTGATTGGCTTTGAAACTTCATTAAGAGTCTTTCATCCTTAATTGGGATCCCTGGAAGTTCAGAATTTTCGGGAAATAAGTGCTCTCACCCTTAGGAATACTTGATGCGTTCTCTTCATCACCAGCCATTTCTCTAACTCTACTTTTCAGTCACGTTTATTTTATATGTTAAATTACACTTTCTGAAAAAAACTTTTTTTTTTTTTTTACAATAAGGAAACTCTGGAAAACTTTGTATCAAGTGGTCAGAATTAATTTAAAGAGTAAGGAAAATGATTACAACTCCTAAGATGAGTCTGAAAAAGAGTTGGAAAGGTCAGGAAAATCCGAAGCCCGAGTTAATCATTAAGTAGATAGGAAGAGTAAAATTCAGTGTGTTTGATACACAATTATTAATTTCAATATCCAAAGAATTCTTAAATAACACTGAGTCTTAAGTCTAAGGGATTCTTTTACAGAAGCCAAGTATTATGAGGTTCAAAAAAGATAAATAATGTTAATGACATTATCCTGTGTATATAATGACATTATATAAAACATCCCTGATATGGTGTTGAATTTAAGCCGCTTTAGGAAAAACATTTCTTCCCCCGAAGTAGTATTGGAAGAAATTACAAATAATTTAAATAAGAGATGGTACTTTTTTACCTCCTTATTAAAACTTAAAAAAAAAAAAAATCGGCCCAAACCTACTCCCATTGGGTTGGGATTGATTACTCATGACCTTTTGCAAGCATACTGTCCATTTTCCACCACAGAGTGGCCCATATACTAGAACTACTGACTTTTTTGTTAGTAGCCCTGTATGCTTTTCTTCCTTATTTAGGAGCCTAGTAGAAATTATAGAAGATTTAAAACAAACAACAACAACAAAAACCCAACCCTCTTAGTTTATTAAATACTTAGTTTCCTCTGTCAGTTTTCAAATTGATCATAAATTATAATCATGCTTTTCATTATCAGTGTAGTTTGAGCTTGTGCAATAACATGACTTTCTTTAAAGGGAATTTTATAGTGAAATAGTGTATTACCTGTCACTATAAGTGCCAATCTTGAGGGCACTGTCTTGTGTAGGAAAGTTGAAGATGAATCACATTGTATGATAAGGAGGGTCTTCTGTAAGCTCCATTCCTGGAGAGGAAGGTGTGTTGTGAAAAGGTGGAACAGTAGTACTCTATAGCTCACAATATTAAAATTTGACCGTAGTCTAACCATGCCTATTTTTCAATTAATTGTATTGAAAGGTGAGTTTTGATTATTTAAGTTGTGTATGTGAA